AAGTGAAGAAAAAAAATGTAACAAAAGGGTCATTAACACAATTAGTAAAGGACTAAAAATAAAAATAAAAACTTCAAAACATTTAGATAATTTAGTAGATTAGCTAATATAGCCACAACTTGCAAATGCAGCCACATGTACAACTTTAAACTTCTGAATTCAGTAATGTGGATATAGGTTGAGGGGTTAACAATGTGTAATAAGCTTGGTCGATTGCTCAACAGGTGTATATTGTTAAAGCATCCCACTCTTCTAGTCAGGTCAATGAGATTGAAGAAGAAGGAGAAGAAGAAGAAGGAAAAGAAGAAGAAAAAGCAGGAGAAAGTGATGATGAAGAAGAAACCAAACATAAGCCTGCCAAATTGGGAAAGAAAAGAGGCCGTCCATCAAAATAGTCATATTGTGGAGTAAAGTAGGTTGAATCCATTGTAGCTTTAATTATATCTATTAGCTGTAAATGAGGTTAATCTTAATGCTCCCCTCAACTTTTGTAACACCTGGTGCGGATGGATCCTTTTGCACTAACAAGTGTAATTGTAATGTGTGTGGGGGGACTGAACCAGACTAGGACCATTTTGGTTTTGAACTAACAGACAACCCTTTTGGGATGAATTAAATTAATGGTAATTTGTTATTGCCTTATCGGGTTTTCGGGTGATGAATCACTTGATGGTTTGCACATCTTGTTTGGGGTCAATTTAGGTCCATTTGTCCAACCTTATTCGGATTGCCCACATTGATTTTCTAGCGCGGATATGAGTTTAATATATAATCCTCAAGGTAAAAACCACCTTCTCTTCATTTTAGTGTATCATAGATTAGACCCATTTGTGCAACATGGGTAAGACTGCGTACATCCGACCCCCCTACCTCACCGTAGGTGGGAGGCCTTTGCGGCACTGAGGTAAATAAATGAAAATGAAATGAAATAGATATTTTTGCAATACCAGAAGTCCAGAGCTCTACATACACAACTTTATTTATTCTTTAGTTTCCTTTCTCCCTAGTATCCCCAACTAAACTGAACCAAACAGGCAAACACGCCTACTAAGTCCCAATCGTATAGTAAGCTTCAATCAATACCCCAACAAGAAAAAGGCGCATTTTATTGTCATTGATACACTTCACATTTGCTATAAAACACGCATTTTTTTTTGAATATATACAAAGGGCTACTCTTAAGTAGGTGCTTGTATGATGTATCTCTATATGCGGTTGCAACCCCTAAACTAGATGACCTAGGCCGATAGGCCGACGAGCAGCAAGCGGCCCGTGGCATCCAAGTAGCAGCAGAGAGGTTACATATTCTTGTATTAATTGTGGAGTATATATTATATATAGCTAGCCACAAACAACCAAAATCTAATATTTTTTTGTAATTATTTCATTATATATATTAAGGGTCAAAGTTGTGCGTCAAACGTGAAGTACTCCATATATAAAATTATTAGTTTGATAATTATTGTAATAATTCAAATTAAAATAGTAATGGTTTGTTCGGATGAGGTTAATCTAAGTTGAAATCTTGAAATAATTATAAATAGATATTCACATATGGAAATCTCCCATTCAAATTTCCTCTAAATTGAGTGTAGTGAGTTTGTATGATCGACTTTTAGGGTTGGGACAAATTTTGTGTTTATCCTTAAGAATCAGTCTGGTTGGGGGGGTTTTATAGGAAAGGGAAGGGAAAGTGTCATATTTAAATTTAAAATATTTTTTATTAAGAAAAATTGAAATAAAGTGAGCACAAAATAGTATGTAAAAATACGTGGTTAAAATAATTATAGAGTCATTTGTAGTTTAAAACCAACAAATGCAAATAAATTAATAAAGTAAAAAAATCAATCCTCCCCTTCCCTCTTCTCTTAAATTCCCCAACCAAACTGGTCATAAGGATTTGGCTCACGAGTCATCATACTCAACTACCCAAGTCAGATCAATACATTATTGATTGACCAAACTCGCTAACAACTACTATGACTCCTACATCAACTCGAATGTTAATGGACACACGTTAAACTATATTCGTAACGTTAACGATTTCAAGTTGAACCATATTAGAGTTGAATCAGCCGTATTGATGATGATTCTGAATTCATGGAAATCTAACAAGTATAGCAAATCACTGATACTATGCAAGAGTTATTGTGCAGTTTCGATTCCTTTCTAAATCCGGTTCTAATTTTAGGCTGCTCCTGTGCATTGTAATAAACACACTTAAGCAACTTTACTGAAGAGTACACTAATTTTAAGCTCTTTCTCTTTAACAGTTTTCACTTCTCTCCTATTTTAATTTTCTTTCTTGGAAGTTGAGTGGCTAATATCACTCGTGGTTTGAGAGCAGTGGCGGATCTTGCAACCGGAAAATGGGTGTTCAAAAAAATTCATGGTTAAAATATTGTATAACAATGTTTTTTTGAACACTGTATAAAAACTAGCAAAAAGGGTTAAGGGTAACAAACATTGTATAAAAATACACTATATAAATTATTATATCAATTATATACATGTATTTTTACATTTTATTTTCAAAATTTTGGGTGTTCGCCTGAACACCCTTGAACAAAGCACGCCCGCCACTTTTTGAGAGTGTCTTCTTTTGGACCAACAAGGTTATTATAAATTTGAAATAAATTTGGGAGTGGCTAATCTGTTCAAGTAAAATAGATTTTTTTAAAATCTGCTTTATTTTTTATAGAATAGAAAACCAATGAAATAAATATTCAATTAAGTCAAGAAAACTCATGCTCAGTCTAAAAAAAACTCATGCTCAGAAAGAAATAAAAAACAACTAGATCTATTTATAAGTCTGGAACTTTTTCCATTGGATCCTAGCTACTTGTTGTCCTAAAATACATTTCTAAATCATGCTTTTGTTTCAAGTTTTTCAGAAAATTAATATAATCCCACGGCCGCATTATATAACATGGGCAGTGATAAAAAGAAAAAAAATATTACAATGAGGTGATTGATTTTAAATTTGTAAATTATTGATGATTAATGAATTACACAGACATGACAATAAATGCAAACATCTTATAATAGAAGAAGTAAAGCAGAGGAGGAACTCAATACAACAGTTTAATTTTAACAATTTTTAGTGTAAAATTTTCCATTTTTCATTTCTCATATAGTCGAACGCTAGATATTCTACGTAACATATCGAGACAAACATATTTATGATCAGTTATGATTTGATGTTTCTTGATGTAGTATAATTATTTTTAAGATGGTATAATCAAATATACTATCATATACTTCCTCCGTTCAGAAATAAATGCAACGGTCAACATTTCACATTGTCTGAGACATAATTTTGACCATTAATATATATATATATATATATATATATATATATATATATATATATATATATATTCCGTACATAGTACTACCTCCGTCCCTTTTTAGTTTGCCAACTTTGACTTTTCCAGTCAAAGATGATGATAAACTTGGATCCATTATTTTAACTAATATATGTATGTAAAAGTTAATAAGTTTATACTTTTATGATAGTATTTTAAACAAATTAAAGAATATTTTCATATAATTTTCTTATTATCAATATTACCGTGTATAAATATATAATCGGTCAAAGTTGAACAACTTTGACTTGAAAATTTGTGTTTGGCAAACTAAAAAGGGATGGAGGGAGTATAATTTTGTATTAGTAAAAAAATTAAAAAAAAAATAGATTTTGAAAATTTACAATGAGACAAATTTAACAATATCTTTTTCATAAAAAAATAATAATGTTTTTGCAAAAAATATTAATGCATTAATTAATAAAAATGTAGTCAAAGTACAACATGTGAATATTGTAAAAATTCAACATGTTGCATTCATTTAAGAACGAAGGTAGTATATTTCTGTTTGGATTAAAATAAGAATAAATCTTAGCAAAAAAAAGTTAATAATAACACCTTACACCTCTTGCATACTTTTTTGGGTGCATTACTGCAGCATACTTACAATCCATGAGAACAATCCAAGCAACTTATAATAGAACAAAGAGACTCCAAACACACATTTACGGTAGAGGATCAAGGGTGCGGTAAGTGCATCTATCTGCTTCTAGTCCATGAAACAATACTAGACTTAGATGAATGTTAATACCTAGATATTCTAGAAGTTGTCATAAGGACAAATTGTTGCATTTAAGGAAACCCAAACGAGTACCACTTTGATCTCAAACTAGAATATCACTCATGCGATGCACGGTAGGATATCTTACAAAATTTAATGATTATTAATGATTAATTAAAGTTGATGACATACTATTAATGATATAATATAACTATTATCAATAAGTAGCAACTATTAAATGAAATATAATGTCTCAGTAGGGCAAAAGAGTGCCAATGTAAAGTAAATTCATTAGAATAAGAAGAACATTCAAATTTCGAGAACCTAACCACTACAAAAATAAGGTCCAATACCAACGAACTTTCCAACCGATTTTATTGAAATAGCCGTTGGAAATGATATTTCCAACAAATAAGCGACAGAATTTGGTCATTGGAATACGCTGGTTGGAAATGTTTCCAACAACCATTTCCAACCGATTTTAAATCTTTCCGCCAGAGTTCCAACGGATATATCTGTTGGAATATTCCAACGGAGAAAGTGGTTGGAAAAGGGCAACCGTAAAATCCAGCCTCATTTTATAGGCCAACAGATTTCCAACCAATTAATCTGTTGGAAATTTAATACAGAAAAAATATATTTATAAGCTTCCAACGGATAACACTAGTTGGAAATGCATTCCTGTTTTTTTGCAATTCAATCTCAGTTAGATGTGGGTTTTGTACTGTAGCATCTAGAAAGTGTCACCAAAATAGTGAAATACTGTCAATGCACAAGTAAATTTGAAAACGATCCATGAAATACCACTTCAAGAGTGTACAAAAACAGAGTTAATACAAAGCAAAAGCATGACAAATAAACGACAAATAAACGTAAAGATTGTTCATTACATAACTAAATAAAACTTGAACCGCAAATACTTCTTCATTCTCCACCACCTTGATTGCCTCCCTCATTTCCAGCAAGGAAATTGTTGAGGAAAGTGTCATCTAGAGAAGTGCTATTACGATTTTGTAGAGGAATGAATTGACATGGCACTTGAGAAGGCATAGATGGTTGAAGCGACACAGGTTGTTGTCCCGACACGTAACCATTCGTGTACATTGTTGGATAATAAGGAACGGGTTGTGAGTGCAGATTGTGTGTCATCCTTGATGGAACCGTAGGAAACATAGATGAGTGAAGGTCAGACATGAAACCTTGTGTAATATTTGGAGCCGAATGAGTGGTAGACCCATTAGTAGGACCTATGCCCCGCGTCGCCAGTATCTGGTCCATTTTATCCAGCACCGTCGTTTTAAAAGCTTCGAAATCCGCAGCTTTCACATATTGCGTCTGTTGAGATGAAGTGGGAGGAAATGAACCATTGCGCAAAGCTGCCACAGTAAAAGGATCCACCCCAAATATTTTTCCTTTTTTGGGAGATACAACTTCAAAAAAAATAGCATTTTCATCCACTTTGCCCCCTTCAGAGTCTTGAGTTTGACGATCTATCTCTGCCGCAACTTTTTCCTATTAAAATATATGCCGATATTCAATTACATGAAGTAAAAATAATATAATATTTAATGTAACTACAAAATAATGTAACAAGTTAAATTTCATTTAATATCTCACTAGTAAATAATTGAGAAACTAAAGAAATCTTAAAATTTGGCTACAATTAAACAAAATAATGCATTCAAACTGATTATGAAATAAAATTCTGCTATGACAAATATGGCCAACGCAGTTACATCTGTTACAATACAGAATATACGTGCCACTTTTGGTTCAAATCATTTAGATAAAAGAAACTTGCACTCTAAGTTAAAAACAGAACATATGAAATACTTAAACCAAAATACATAGGTATATTGCTTGTTAATAAAGTCCAAGTGAGGTAAATAAATGTTAGTCAACCAATGACCAACTTTCATGAGTAATGCAATCTTACAAATGCAGTATATTCTTAAAACAAGAATTCATACATGTAGAGAAATATATGGTTCATTAGTTTCAAAATCATGTTCACTGCATTATATACTTGAGAATAGAATTTTGAGAATAAAGGCACAGACTCAAATTTTGAATTTGACAATTAAAATATCTCAGTATTTCATTTAGATAAAGAAAAGTAACACTTAACATTTAAATGAAACGTAAAGCAATTGAAATGTCTTGGCAGAAAACAAACAGTGAGCTGAATGCCGATTTTTAATCAAATGAATAGAACAAATAGGCATTCAAACAAACATGCAGTAGTGTCTAGCATTCTTTTTGTATCAGTAAATTTAAACAAACATGCAGTAGTGTCTAGAATTCTGGAATAAAACTCTACTAATACAAACAAATTAATGCATTGAAACTGGTAATGAAATAAAATTCTTCAATTATGTATTAAACTAAGTAAAAGTAATTTCAATACCCATGTATTCAAACTGAAAATCTGCTAAAAAATAACAAATAGAACTATACCGCAATCTCTTGAGCTCGGGGACCACTCCATTCTTTAGTTTCTTTTTTTTGGAACCCATCTTTGACAATCTCAGTAGCAAAGGGCGTCCTCCCCAATTTTTGAGCCTGTATAATAATAATAATATATAATCAATAACTCAATTCAGTAATTAATTTAAAATAAATAGTAAATACTCATTTACAAGTACAAACTTACTAATCGTTCCGCTCTCACTTTTTGTGAAACAGACCCCCCGCAATATGGAGAGCTTCTACAACCAGCCGAAGAGCTATTTTTTTTATTTGTTTCTGACTTCTTCTTAAACTTTAGAGACGCCCATTGCCCTAGCATGTCCCGCCAATGTACCGGCGATATCCATTTAACCGTTTTGTTCTTATCACGGGCTTCATTAAAGACACCCGTCAGCCACACTGAACATCTAGAGTTAAAAGCTCGCTGGATTTCAGATTCTTCAGCCGGAGGATATGTGTGGTTCCGCTGCATAAAACACATATTTATCATTAACTAAAGTAAAATATCAATTGCAAATGACAAATACACATATATCAATACTCAGATTTACCTTAAATTCCCTAAACCATTGTTCACGAATAGGCTTAGGCACATCTCCATAACAAATCCATGGGCCAGTATAAGATCCTTCTAATATCTTTTTAACCTCGTTCAAAACTTTTTGCCTACAATCATTTAACGTTACAATAATACACTGAATAATATTTTATGAATAGGATATCCAAAAGTATTACTTATGTAATATCAAACCATTACTTAGGAAAGTCTTCAACTGATATCGGTGTGCGCACTATATTTGCCGATCCTTCACCACCGTAAGAACCAAATGCAGAGGCAGCCGACTCATGGTGGCCTTCCGGAGTGTATGGTCGGCTTTCGTTCATAGGCTGGTCAGCTTCAATCTCATCATCCTCATCAGACTCATATTCTTCAATAATTGGGGAACCATAATTTTGTACCAGCGGAACTTGTCCCCCTCCTCCTCCCCTACCCCCTTTTCCTCCCCTACCACCCCTACTGAAGCTTGACCGTCCCGACATGTTAAACTACATAAAAGGATGATAAATATGGCGTATAACTAAAATTGATTTCAATACTTCATAATCGATTAGTTCCAATTAAAGCCATTAAAGCGAAAACAACTTATTTCAAGCCACTTTATGATACACATGTCAATATCCAACAATAAACAGAATTTAAATCCATTTCATTATATGTGTGTTCAACACATATTTACTACGGTATAATATACTTTATATATTACATGTACTTATATGTGTGTTCAACACTTATGTGATTACAAATGTGAACATTAATAAACAAGACCTAATAATAGATACAATAAAGTGAAACATCATTGAATGATATCGTGAGAAGACTAGCTCCTGACCAAATAAAATTATGGATGCACATTTAAAACAAAACATTATATGCTGAAAGTTAAATAAATTTAGGAAGCATATGGCCTTGAAATAAATAAATAAATAAAATCAGATTTAACTTTAAATATGAAACATTCAACTGAGAGCGGCTACGTACCTGCAACGTGATCGACCGAGATGCTACACTGCCGAGTTTGGAACGAAACACGGCGGGTGAAGGAAGACAGACAGGCGGTGGAGATTAGGAAGAATCAACGGTATAAAACATTATAAGTTGAAAGATTGAGAAGAGAAGATAAAAGATAGGCGTACCTGGAGGTTTGGGACCCTTGCTATGGCTCCTTCCCCTTCTCTGCGTATCTGGGTTATCCGCGTGCGGCAGCTTCTTTAGGGTTCACAGTGTATGGTTTACGCTTTGTGTATCTCAATGGATAAAAAAGCCCACTTTTTGACCTCCCTTTTGATCCATTCTCTATTTTTGTATTCTAATAATTGCTTTTGGTATTCTTTGTTTCTCTTAGAAAGGCCTTTTGATGTTACTCCGTATTATTATTCTCTCGTTTTTTGGAAGGTCTCAATTAGGATGTTTTTACTTGGACTGTAATTTGTTGGTCTGGCCTGGTCTGATCTGGTCTGGTCTGGTCTGAACTGGTCTGGTCTGGTCTGGCCTTTCAATGAAGTTTGCATAAATCCTGTCATACCAATCATATGTCAATATGACTTACACAAATAATGCATATTACTAAAAAAAGTGAAGAATGTGAATATAAAATACATACTCATAATATGGTCTCACTTCTGCACAGTTTAGTAAGATATATGTATATGCAACTTTTAATTCTTCACCAACAATGTAACGTAAGGTAGACTTCCCATGTGCGCGACCGGGATGATTGAAAATTGAGAAACTCATTGAAGTTGTTGAAGATGAAGCACCAACATCGTTTCGAGAAGGCCTAATACGTTTAGAACGTATTGATGATTCAAAGTAGTAAGATGCGAAAGTTGAAAGCTCCTCATCGATGTACGCACTACAAATGGATGCTTCAATGTGCGCTTTATTAGTGATTTTCTTTTTTAGGCGCCCAAGAAACCTACAATTGTTTAAGCAATCAGGATGTCATAGTACACATATAATATGTGTAGCGGTTTGTTAAAATAAAAAATTACCTCTCAAACATATACATCCATCTATATTGCACTGATCCACACACTCTTGCTTCATAAGGTAAGTGAACGATTAAATGTACGGAAGCAGTGAAAAAACCCGGTGGAAATATTTTCTCCATGTTGCATAGCAGAAGAATAACAGACTTCTCTAACTGTCTAAGCAATTCTACATCTACCACGCGTGTGCACAACGTTTGAAACACTTGGCTTAGCTCAGCAATTAACTGCCACACATTTTTTGGGACCATTTCACGAAACGCTATTGTGATAAGTCTTTGCATAAAAACATGACAATCGTGACTTTTCATATGAACAACTCTCAAACTGTCTGCACTAATACATCTACGAAAGTTAGATGTGTATCCGTCTGGGAATCTGATAGAAGCAATCCAGTCCATAATCACTTTTTTCTGTGCAGTTGTGACTGTGTATATAGCCTTATTAATTTTATCAACAAAATCAGAGGTCACACCTATGCTAGGCCGATCACAGTAAATTCCAACATCTTTTCGTGCCTTCAAGTTATCTTTCGTCCTTTCTTTGTCATTCAAGAGTGTATAAAACAAATTGTCAAATACATTCTTCTCTATGTGCATGACATCCAAATTGTGCCTAACCAGTAAAATTTTCCAATAAGGAAGATCCCAAAAAATACTTTTTTTTGTCCATTTGTGATCTGAGCCATAACCTTCAGGTAATTCATTGGGGTCATCAACTGCTGTATCTATCGCCGCGACGCGATCATAGATTTGTTCCCCTGATAATCTAACGGGTGGACGATTAGTTTCCTTTCTTCCTTTTGTGAAAGAACTTACATCTCTACGATATGAGTGATTGCGTGGAAGGAATTGCCTATGACAATCAAAATAACAGGCTTTTCCACCATACTTAAGGTGGAATGCCTTGCTATTTTCCATACAAATAGGGCATCCTAAAACTCCAGCAGTACTCCATCCTGAGAGCATCCCATAAGCAGGAAAGTCACTAATGGTCCACATTAAAATGGCTCGCATAGAAAACATTTCATTTTTGGCCACATCATACGTTATGGAACCCTCATCCCAAAGATGCTTTAACTCATCAATTAGAGGTTGCAGATAAACATCAATCTTTTTCTTAGGACACATTGGACCAGGAATAATGAGAGATAAGAACATGTATGGGGATTTCATGCACATACCAGGGGGAAGATTGTACGTCGTTAGAATAACCGGCCAACATGAATATGATGCGCCATACTGCCCGTGTGCAGCAAATCCATCTGAACACAACCCCAATCGAACATTACGCGGATCCGAGGCAAAGTCAGGATATATATTGTCAATGTGCTTCCATGCCTCACTATCAGAAGCATGACCCATCAAATTTCCAGTGGACTCATGAGTAGAATGTCATATCATGGACTCAGCAGTTTGACGTGATGCATATAGTCTTTGCAACCTCGGTGTTAAAGGTAGATAACGTAATACAGAAATAGCTGTTCGCATCTGTCTTTTTGTCCTGGAATTCTGATCCGAAGCATATGTGTAACGATTCTCACCACAAAATCTACACACTTCCAAATTTTCATCATTTTTCCAGAACAACATACACCCTTTAGGACAAGCGTCAATCTTCACCACCGGAAGACCTAATTCAGAAACAAGTTTTTTTGTCTCATAATAATTTTTTGGGACAGTATTGTCACGGGGTAAGTATCGACCAAATAATTCCAACCACCGATTGACTTCATCTTGTGAAGCATTAAAATCAGATTTTATACTCATTACTTCAGAAACAAATTGCAATTGGGAGCCTTCATTACATCCTTCATATAAAGGCTGATCTGCAGCTTGTAACACATTTTGAAAATGATCCGCCAAGTATGATACGTCATCTACATTAAGTGATTCTTCTCCACTTTGTTCTCCATAAATATGATCATGGTTTATGGAGTCTGGCGGCACATAGCCCCCAATAATGTCTTCTAGCATCCTTTCGCCCCATGGTGTCTCATCTTGGCTCCCCGAATGTGGTCCATGAACATTATCAGCATTATATTCATGTGGGGTGTGTGAATCCACAAATGTGGAACTTTGTAACAATTCTCCATGAGAAGTCCAAGTCTCATAATCAGCAACAAATCCATGTCTATAAAGATGAACCTTCACTTCCTCAATAGCATGAAATCGTCGGTTGGCACACTTTCGACATGGACATCGAATTTCTTCTCCGCCACTAAAATCTTGTTGAAGACTAGCGAATTGAACAAAAGATTCAACACCATTCATGAAATGTGTAGAAACATTTTTTGTATTTGGATCGTATCTATCATACATCCAACTTCTATCTACTCTATACATACTAAAAATATGTAATGGAAAGTGAGATTAAAAATATATAGTAAGTTAGGGAGAAGCATAGAAGGAAAATATATGTATTCTCGATCTAGCCAAGTTGAACTGTAATGTAAAGGCAGAGCAATGTTTAGTCTAGCTTTAAATTGATTCTGGAATATCTACTTCCAATGGAATTCCAACGGAATCCCGACGGCCCTCCAACGTCTATCCAACAGATTTCCGACGGCTTTCCAACGACCTTGCAACAGATTTCCAACGAATGGCATTCGTACCAGAAGCCAAATCCGTCCCACTGACTTCCAACGGCATTCCAACGGCCTTCCGATTCCATTCCAACGAAATTCCGACGGAAGGTTGATGTAATGCAGTTACAAATTTTCCTACGATGTTGCAACGAATTCCCAACTTCGTCTGTTGGAAGGCTGTTGGTAGTTTGTCGGAAATTTCCTACCGCAAAATTGGTTGGAAAATGTCCATAGCTAATGGAGTGTTATTTTGTAGTGAACTACACACCATAAATATTTCCTCAGCTTTCACGTGAACTTTCATCATTATTTGAAATGAAAGTTTTCTACAAAAGTAAATAATGATGTTAAACAAAGAAACATAAATTTTGTTTTAGATTTAATGAAATAAAATCACATAGAAAGAGTTTTTGTTTAATATTTATCATTTGTGGTACTTGTCAATGAGAGAAACACGCAAAATGACTTTCTACATGAAGTACTTAAATTAGACATTTTATTCAATTCATTGATTTTATGTATTATAATTGTCATTCTTTCAAAAAATAATCAAATGTACTTTAAAATAAATATTTCCTTCCATATATTTAGTTATTTACTAATCAAGTTTAAAAATAAGGTAGTCTCTTCATATTTTAGTATCTGCTCATATATTCTGGACTCAAATATCCGCTTGTATCCGAAATCAAACTAATGCAAGTGTATGATCAGTATTGGTTCCGACTTGATTTAATTACTTTAAGGTATGAATATTAACATATAATTGTGCTTGTATAGATATTTAATTGAAATTAAATCTAATGTCAAATTTCAATATGTGTTTTACATTGATATATTTTAAATAGAAATATATTTAAAAATATTTTTTTTAAATTATGGTCCAACCGGATTTAGCTTAAATATTTCAGATTCAATTATGATTGGAATCAGAAATTTCAAAAGTTTTGGATCAAGTATTGATCCGATACGTGACACTTTTAGTCAATACCGAATCAACTGTTGTAGATCTATTCATTTTTACGATCTTGATGAAGGTGTTGGCCCAAAGCGTGCACCATTAGACTACATCGGTGTTTACGTATAAACTTATATCGAGTGTTAGGAAGATATTTCAAATTTGTTAATTTCATTTAGACAGGTTTGGTAACCCCTATTTTCTAGCTCATCAATCTTATTAGGTAGCTGACTTTTTTATTAAACGTGTGACTTTTAATTTCACGCACAAAATTGTGTAATAATCAAATACTCCCTCCGTCCTGTTGGAATGTTCCCGTTCACTATTCATTGGTCAACTTAGGTCACTCCTAATCTTTTACTTTATATATCAAATTTTTATCAAATTGAACTTTTCTTGATCAGGCTTTGTAGCGGTTTTAATGTAGTTTCTGAATATGTAAATTTTATTTACTAAAAATAAGCGGAGTGTGAACAGGGATCGAGTTGCTTTATCGTCAGTCAAGCATCGTAAACCGAACGGGAACATTCCAACGGGACGGAGGTAGTATAAATAAGGTTTAAGTTACTTTTTCTTGATTGAATTGCCTGAAGTTGCCGCAAAGAATCATTTTAGTTTTTTTCATACTCCCTCCGAATTTAAAAGATCACTACATTAGATGTTGACACAATATTTAAGTAGGGAATAGTAGATGCTCCGTACTGTTCATTGATTGTGATGGTTTTGGACGGGAACACTGTTCATATTTTCCACTTTGGTTTGTATATGGTATGAAAAGATATGATCTAAATAGAAATTTGTCTCTACGGTTGGGCATTAAAATGAAGTGTTCTCACTATCATTAGAGCAACCCCATTGTTTAGATTATTTAGAGATTAATTTGATGAGGTGGCTGATTTTTTTGAGATTATGATTGAGATAAAGAAATTATTTGCAAAGATTATTTGTAAAAAAAATCCAGCATCAAGTTTTGAAACCAGATTATTTTAAATGATTTCTCCAACATATATAGAAAATTGGGATAACCGTGTGATTGTTTCCTTATTTACCTCTAATTCTTATGGTAAGTAGTTAGTAGCAATTAGCAAAGTCTTGCTCCTCCATAGTCCATACTACCCGTAGTACATGTTCATTTAAAAAAATTATTTGATTAAAAAAGTGATATGCAGCTTCATTTTTTAATAGCACGTATCTTCAATTTTTTTGAATAGCACGTAGCTCCATTTTTTTGAATAGCATGCATCATCAATTTAAAAGGTATGTATTATCTTTTAATTTTAAAAGATTGCAATAATTGAATTAGCATTTTTTAAATTTAAATAATAACTGGCACCCACAAAAGAAATGGTTATAAATACATATTAAAAATACATATATATTAATATATGTGATTAATAAATTTGAATGGTTATGATTTTCAGTAACATTTTTTGTTGGATTATTTTTTATAGTACAACTCATGACTTGAATAAAAGAAAAAAATTAAATTGGAGAAAACAAAGTAACTATACGTGTTGGTAGCTTTCTTTAAAAAAAAACCTTGGTGGCTTGGTGCATTAATTTCTAGACGTTCAAACATGTGTTTGTATGAGAGAGACTCTTTTAATACTTTTTATACAAAAATCACAATAATCACAATATTTCATATCATTTATGATTTCATATGTGGCAATGATGTGGCACAAAAAAATCGTTTATTTGAGTATCATCAATGGAGTTGCTCTTACACTATAATCAATTGGTAAAATTATCTCTCTTATGACTAAAAGAACATGATGTTCCCAAAGTATGACTTCACCAGTTTTTTCCCCAATCTAATGCTCCTACAACGTGAATGGTCGTACACGCGCCTCTATTATTTGTTTTAATTCCAATCATGTCCTCCACTAAGCAAATAAATAATAAGTACCATAACTGCAGATCAAATAAGATGGGCGTAAACAAACTTTTACTTGAAACTCCTAATAATTAGGAATAACTTGCAAATGAATTAATTGCATTATGGTAACTGCCAAGTGCCAAGTGTAGAGTAATATGGGTGTCGAGTAAATTAGGAAAATACGCACATGATATATGCTCACATTATTATTATTATTATTATTAGTATTATTATTTGTTATTATTAGTATTCTTATTGATATTGTTATTATTATTATTATTTACTTCAAAAAATTATTATTATTATTATTATTTTATTGTTATTATTATTAAGTGTCCTAATAAATTATATGTGTTATATTTTTATGTAGCAATTGGGCAGTAGTTTATCCATAAAAATGTTTGCGTTTTTATCTATTATTGATTTAGTTGGTATATTTACTGCCCTCACTTTTTTTTCCCTATTGATTGAATTTTACTATCACGGGCAATAACTTTTATTATGCCCAGTATATCATATTCTCCCTTTCTTACTACACATGTATGTATCAGGGCAATAAATTATTTAGTGCAGCGTCTTCATTATGTGTGTTATAATTTTACGTGTTCATTTACTGTCCTCCAATATATGGGCAGTGAAGCACACATGTCAATTTATTGTTCATTTTACGTCTAATTTCTATTTTAGTAAAATATTCTTTGTGATTAATTTTTGTTAACGTATTCATTTAATTGTCAAATGTCCTATCACTTATGTATCAATGGGACAGTAATTTATGTATGTCCTAATTTTCTCTAGTGTTGATTTAATTGGTACATTTACTGCCCTCACAAATTTTCATATTGGTTTAATTTTATTGCCACCCTATGGGCAATAACTTTCAATATGCATTGCCTTTACGTCTATTACACTGCTGGCTCTAGTATAAATACGTTTATGGGAATAGTTCATTCAATTCTAAATCTTATTGTAAAATAATTCAATATATGGAGTAAACTCCCGTTATATTTATACTGCAGTTTAAACATGCAAAAATAAATATTATAAAGTTATTTAAAAGATTAAAATATCAAATGTAAATCATGAATGTCCTTTTTGAAATATGGCTCCACGCCATTAGGAGCGATAGTCACAGTTTCTACCACAATGCGTATTAATTGGCTGGATTCCATTTTGAAAAGATTCCTTTTTTATAAACCGTGTGTTTACAAGGAAGTTAGGGGTAATAGAATAACATTGCATCTTTATTAAATATCCATTTATATGCATAGGCACGTATTTAGTCATACGTTAGACATAATTCATTTTTAGTCATATATTGAGAAACTCTGTTTCTTTTAGTCATATAACCGTATTTTTCCCTAATCAATTACTTAGTGTAAGTTAACTATTCTCTAATGATATTTACATTAGCATAAATAATTCAAACTTTCATATTTTTAAAGTACAGTAAAATAATATAGAATCGCAAAATCAAACCTTACAAAAAATAATACTCCCTCCGTCTCAATTTGTTTTGCAAAGTCAACATTTTTTGGTCAACCGATAATAAAAGTCAACCCTCCTTATGCATGATTAATTTCATTTTTAATAAATAAAATTTACATATTCATAAATTACATCAAAATCTCTTCAAAGTTGTAAACTCCAAATTAGAATATACGAGTAACTAAAAGTTGGCATTCTAATTAATTCAACAAAACGCAACTGTTTGACCAAGAAAAGTCAAAATTGCAAATCAATTCGGGACGGAGGTAGTAGTTTCAGTTATCACGGATAGGCATAACTTCTTGTCTTGGTTTTGAACTATTTTTCATGAGAATATCTCTTTCATATGGCATGAATTCGTGGATATGGTTAGTGGCTGATAGATCTATTTGTTCAGCAATAGCTGCATAAAGCCCGTCTGGTGGTTAGCGATTCGTATTGCTCATTCGGGGGGTGATCGTCTCTATGTCTAATCGTAGGGCTAATAGTAGTAGTTGGAAGGTGAAGGTTGTAGTTAGTAGTGGTCACTTGGAAATTGATGCAACGGTCTTGATTTTAATTAGGGGTGGGTTCGGTCCGGTCCGGGTCGGGTTTTTGCTAAACCCGGAAATTACCCGGAAGGTCTCGGGTTATGAAAATTAGGGACCGGAACAAAGCCCATTATATTCGGTCCGAGTCGGGTTTTTGGTAGCCCGGGTTCGGTCCGGGTTCGGGTTGGGTCGATTAAAGCCCGAACTTGAAATATCTCATTGTTCTTTTATATTTTAACACCTATTTTCAAACAAAATTAATCAAAACTACAAATCGCAAATAATTAATAACACAAATAATAGTCTCCAAAATCACCAACAATTCAAATCCAAAGAAGATAATTATCTTAATATTTTATTTAAGATGCATGTAAATAAATAACATAGGTTTCTTAAAAATATTATGAAATAAAATTTATAGATAAAAGGATTATTAGCTAAATATGAAGTATATCATTTACTATCATCAAATTCACAAATCTATCCTAGACTTTCACTTTTATTAAAAAAGTCTCGAACTTCAATTTTTCTCACAATTACACTTTCAATGGATGAATTGGTATAATTTAAGAAGAAAATCATAATTATATTTCATACTTTTCACTTCTTTCTAGTTTTTAATTTACAATTTTGAATTACTTATATCTTATTGGTATTGATAAGAATGTGTAATTTCGAAAAACAAAAAAAGAAAAGCATGATTGTTTAAAAAGATGAAGTTTGAACCTTGTTTTGATAAGTGTGAAAGAAGATAGATTTGTGAATTTGATGATAGTTTGAGATAAAATAAGCCAATAATCCTAGATAAAATATGACTAGAGTTGCTATAAATATATTTTCATGGTCATTACGCTAAACAAATTGAACATATT